TAACTCCTAATTCTTCTCTAAGAAAAAACCTCCTACATGAATGCCCCTCTCAATTAGGACTCTCCTAGCTAGAGTCCTAATAGAATGTCCCTCTCAATTAGGACTCTCTTAGCTAGAGTCCTAACAGTTTTACATGAATATCCCTCTCAATTAGGACTCTTCAAGCTAGAGTCCTAACACCAAGCCTTTTAGATTAGTGGATCTCTATCCAATAATCTCTCTTATTTGATCTCATCTATAGGATTCAATAATTCAGGGGCTTATTGGATATCCAATAAAATAGTGGCTCCGGCAGATATCTCATATTTGAACTTCTATTCATCGCAACGCCTATCATATGTGTGTGACCCTCTGGGCCCAATATCGAGCTAGCCGTGAGTCATTGGATATTCCTCTTATGACACCAAGATCGGATGATCTTCTATCGACACTCAATAATCCTCGAAAGGTTGGATACCACTCTCAATGACCGGCTGTGCTAGATCTGGAACCTCCAAACCTATAAGTTTATATCAAAGAGTGAAGTACTAATATAGGACATCCTTGGTGTCTAGTCGAATGACCAAATATTCCACTAGGACTACAGAATCACTAACTATAAGGCATAATCAACTATCTAGCATTTCATAAGCGGATTAATTAGTAAACTCCTTCTTCAATGAGAACCTGTACATCCATCATATGGACGGGTATACAGCACACCAGTCTATCTAATTATCTCGATGTCCCTCTCGAGTTACATATGACCGAGATTATTTAGGGTCTGTGTTTAAATGTGAATCGGTCTCATTATCGTGACCTCATCACGATCCGATTCTCATTGCACAAATCCATGGATATATATATATATATATATATAAAGTACTATAAAATGATAAAATATCAAATAATAATAATAAGCAAAAAGATGTGTGTCAAGTTACACGTGTCATCACTCACATTATTGGCTTGTAGGGCACCTATGACTAGCAATCTCCCACTTGACCTAAAACTAATCATCTGTATGTATAATCCCCATCAGACCCCTATGACGCTCAAAGACAATATGAGACGACGGCTTTATCAATGGATCTGTGATGTTATCTTCAGATGGAACTCTTTCCACTATTATATCTCCTCGGGCCACGATCTCTTTAATAAGTTGGAACTTCATCAAAACACTTCTGATGATACTTGGGTTCTTTCGCTTGAGCAATCGCTCCATTGTTGTCATAATATAAGGGAATCGACTCCTCGTTGCAAGGCATGACTCCTAGATCTGTGATGAACTTCTTCATCCAGACTCCCTCCTTTACTGCCTTTGCTATAGCAATGTACTCCACCTTTGTGGTCGAGTCAGTTATAGTATCTTGTTTGGAACTCTTCCAGCACACTGCTCCTCCATTTAAAGTGTACATATACACCGAATTTAACTTGCTATCATCGATATCAGATTGGAAACTCGAGTCCGTGTAGCCTTCAACCTTGAGGCTACTATCTCCATATACCAGTAAAAGATCCTTAATCCTTCTCAAGTATTTAAGGATATACTTTACTGTTTTCTAGTGCTCCAAGCCTGGATCCGCCTGATACCTGCTCGTGACACTCAGAGCAAGCACTATATCAAGCCTGGTACATAGCATGGCATACATGATAGATCCTATCATTGAGGCATAGGGTATTTTATCTATGTTCGCCCTTTCTTCAGAAGTATTTGGGGACATACTCCTAAAAAGCGATATCTCATGTCTCTTCGCTTGTCCCTTCCTCGGGCGTAGGCATCACTATATCAAATATGTATGTGATTTTCTCCATCGTGAGAACAATTCTCAAGTTGTAGAGCCAATCCGTATAATTTGGACTAGTGAGGTGGTTGACATCAAATATGCCATGTAAGGGATTTGAAAGCGAGATTTTTCCGAAAATAAAAATGCAGCAGAAATAAATAACATGTAGATTTTGTAGAAAAATAAACAATCAAGATATAGACTTCTATCTTAATCTACTCCCACTATTTTACTAGCGAGTCACGCGACACCCTCAACACGTGAAACGGAAGTCCTCGGTAGACTTTTAGTGGGGATCGGGATCCAATCAACGTCTTAGTGTAACCTCGAGGGACTCGACCAATCACACTAAGCCTAAAAAGTAGGCAACTTTTGTTGATCATAACTTTTTGTGATTCCCATCCTGTTCGGCCTCCGAACCACCATAATCTCAAGGGACTCGGCCAACCATGATGTTCGGTTAAAGGTTGGCATCTTCTTTACTCTGGCATAAGGTTGGCATCTTCCTTACTCTGTAGTTTGCTTTGCTTGTTCTGTTCATTCTTCTCATGCTTTCTGATCCCTAAATGCAGTACATGGTTCTGGCATTACCTAGTGCAACTTTGTGTTTTTACTTCTTTCAATTGCTTCATCTGTTGTTTCAGACTGACACTTTACCTTTCTTATTGAAGTATCAAAAGGCACGTGAAGGCTCTTCTCATAAACGTAACGCTCAGAAGGAACTTCTCGAAGTAATATCACATCGGTTGCATGTAGACAATAGTATAGAATTCATCGGGAAGTTGTTGTTCGGTTCTAAGCAAGGGTCAGAAGTGCTGAAAACTGTTCGCCCTGCAGGCCAGCCTTTAGTGGATGATTGGTCCTGCCTCAAATCGATGGTGAGTATATTGATCAACAAGATTTTTAACAATTTCAAAATTGTCTTCTGTTAGCGTGCCTTTGAGTCCTTCCCAAGTAGCATCTTATGCTTCACCTTTGATGGCAGACAACTTGGCCTGTCATTCTTGCATAGGATGCTAACAACCAGGGAATTTCCAAACACTATCATATCTTGATGGGGATTCTCATTAATGTTAAACTAACTGTAACTGTATGGGGGCCTTTAAGCATGTTCCTTTCGACTTAATACAAGAAAAAAGACCCTTAAGGATGTAATTATGGATGAACAGAATGAATTATGAATGTAATTATGGCTATTTAAGGCAGTCACAAATCAAGATTGAAATACCAATTTTGGTTTCTGGCTCATGTTTGCCATGATAACAAGATCGGATTGTGAAACATGTCCTAGTTGGTTTGTGGCTGCTTTTGTAGCAATACCTTTCTATCATATTGATGTTTCAGTGGCCTGTGATCACATGATCTTGTCATCATGCAATTGAGTCTATTTTCAAGCATTTTCTTGTCTGTACCAATTTGGTTGGACATGGCACAATTTTTTTATCTAAGTGAAGACTTCTGCTTTATAATTTACTGGCGAATAAATAGGTGCATTATTTCCAGTTCTATTGGATAAAAATATATGAAGGTACAATCTACAGATCCATGATTTGCAAGACCAGTTGTACTCAATTTCGTTCTTGAGGAACTTCAACAACGAAACTTGTGTTAGATAACCTATAACCTATGGAATATGTGGGAAATTCTTTGGTTTTTGTTCCTTTGAATTTTATAAAGCTGTGATGTCTTTTTTTTTTCTCTTTCCAGGTGAGGACTTTTGAAGCACACTGTGGATCTCTATCTCAGTATGGGATGAAACATATGCGGTCTCTAGCAAACATCTGCAATGCCGGTATCAGCAAGGAGATGATGGCTGAGGTGTCTGCTGAAGCTTGCATTAGCATTCCTGCCGGTCAGTGGAGTTCTCTCCAGAAGGGATTCAGTGCCTGAGGTGACAATGAAAGACGGCTAGTAGTATGTTACTGATTGTGCATAGTATATAATGAAGTTGCTTGGATATCTTCTCCTGCAATGTGAATATATTGCTGAAGGGCTGGAGAAATTTGCATCCGTTTGTGTCACTTAGTCCATGGATTATTGTAGAAAATTCGTGCCTGATACTTGAGGCTATGGCTGAGCTCATGAGTGGCTCTTTGTTAGAAGTCTGTGTTATCGTTGGGCATCCATAATGAGCTATTATGCAATTAAACTGCTGTTTCCTTGTATGTCCTATGCATATGGGGTGAAAGTGAAGACGTGACAAAAAATTCTGGCTTGTATATAATTAAATATACAAGTATATGAATTGTACTACAATTATATTTAATTATATACAATTATATACTGGCTTGTATATAATTGTAGTACAAGTTTATAATTAAATAAAATGTCATTTTATATGAAATTCTGAATTGTCATCAGTATGTTCAATTTGTTAGGATTTCTCAAGAACTTATGCTGGCACCATTGGTACGTGCAATTAGCTTGCTCCTATAGATTTGGTCTAGAACTCAGCATTAACTCATCAGAGAAGAAGCTTGCACATTATTTATTGTAGATATATTTGTTCTTTATATTAGGATCAAGTCGGTACTAAGAGAAGGGCGTGGGGGGTGAATTGGTGCGTATGTAAAACTTACGTCGAGTTTAAAATCTTCGTACGATAAAATCGTATCAAGGAGTGTTTAACTTTGAAAACGTTAATAGGAGTGTGCAGCTAAAGTAACGAGGAAGTAAAGCAGTTTGCAATAAAGGTAAACAACAAAACATAAATATAAATCGATTTATAGTGGTTCGGTCATTGTGACCTACGTCCACTCCCGATTCTGCTTCACTCGAGGCCACCAACTTTTCACCGTCGATCTTCTTTCTAATGGACAAAAAACAACTACCCTTACACTCTTTCTTCTTTTCACAAGTTCAGGAGAGAACCTTTACACCCCTTTTTTATAAGTGTTCCCTCACACACCTCTCTTAGGATTATCACTAAGCTCTTGGAGGAGGGACTCTATACTTAAAAGAGTTTTACAATATTGGAATCATTGAGTTTTTGCTCTCTTTTTGTATGTATTGCAAGCAGGAATTTGTGGGGTATTTATAGACCCCAAATAGCTTCAAAACTTGGAGCCAAAATTCAAATCCTCGAGTTTTTGGGGTATAGACGACACCCATCGCTTCCCAGTTTGACATTGAGTGGTACCACTGCCTGGTAGCATGGAAAAGTGTGCTATTGACTTTTTCAACTCATGAGTGGTTCCACATAATCTTGGGTGATCGAATGGACCTTCTACTTGGCCCAAAATAGTTGCAACTCAGGCCCAATGAGCCCCTAATTGAGTAGGCCTAATTATATTCTAAACTAATCCAATTAGAACTAAAACTACTTCGATCTAGACTTATTACAGAGCATTAATCACATGTTGTCCGACATGTCATTAGTTCATTCAGCGCTTCGTCTGACCCTTCGGCGCATCATTTTCTCCTTCGACGTATTGCCCAATCGGCATGTTGCCTTATCGCAACATTTGATCTCCTTAGCGTAATGTTCGATCTTCTTGGCCCGATGCTCGAACTCATGGCAGAAAGCCTTCTATCGATACGTCGATCGATTCTCCGGCTCGACGTCCAATCTTCTAACATATTCCAATCTGGTCTAACATTGATTCTTCCTGATTTAATTATCTTTTTGTGATCGAAGCTAGTCCTCCGTTACTCAAAATATAGATTAGATCATTAACTCTATCAATTGATTTCATCGTATTCAACACTTTGTTGACGTGTTTCTTTCTTTTTTTATGCTTATTTTGGAGCTTAAGCATGAGAAGCAAAATGTACTTTGATACCGACTAGGTTCTGGTGGAGTTGAAATTTATATTTTTCCTTGTTTGAAATATGATTTGATAAAGTTAACTCAATTTTTCCTTTCCCTTTTATCACCGGTAAGAGTCAAGTTTATAGTGCAGACATGTCCAGGTATGTAGTATGCCCTCCTTTTAATTTTGATGCTATTAGTAGTGGTTTAGTAGGTTATTTGACTATTAGTTACCATTAAGGCTTGTCATAGCTGTTAAACGTGAAACCTCTAGAGTGATTCTCTTTGCAAACGGACCAGTTGAAGAGGTGATTTAATGGTGAAAGAGAAATACTAATATGGTTGGCATCATCTCAGCGATGGATCCTCGGGTAGTTGATATTCTAGTATCAAGTGACCAAAATTTTAATATTAGATAATCAACATCTCACATCTTAAATAATATTTTCTCTTATAATGCTAGATGAATCCTCTAAATCACGTACTAACTTAAGCATTGGAAAGGAGTATTATTGAGAATATCTTAACGTAATTTTACAAGGTTAGGCATAATTGGAGTCTAATTTGTTCGATGTTAATAGAAATTAATTTGGGATCAATTTAGAAGAAGGATCTCGGTTTACTCCGAATCAACTCCCAACTTATATAATTAAAATATTATTAGATCTAGGTGGGCTTGGACCGGACAATAGGAGCATTGAGCCTAAATCTGATCAATTATTAAAAAAAGAAAAAAAAAAACGTTGTGCGCGACATAAGAGGTGGGCGAAAGGAAAAAGATCGATGCTAGGTTTTGAGGCTTTTATTAAACGATCAAATGACTAAATTTTATCGATTTTGGCCCAAATTTTATATAAAGAATCCCTGCAATAAGCTCTACAATCATAATGGTGCCAATCTGCGATTTGTCCTCTCCGAGGTGCTTTTCTGATATACTCAATTTATGAGACTTAAACCTTTCCTTTGATGAAATTCATATATGATGATGATGATATGCTATTATTGAGCCAAGATCTGTATTCTTGATGTTATTATGATCCTCTAGTTATTTTAGAGAATACTTATTGTAAACATATTATCATTATTGGTGATAGTGGAGATTTGAAGTGGACCACGGTCTCGTGATTTCTCTCGCATTGGGCTTTTCACGTAAAAATTCAGTGTCTCACTTTATGATTGATTCATTATTCTACTATTTATGCTGCTCTAGTTAATATTTATTTTGGGTAACAAGTTGATATTTTGGTAAGGAACTCATTTTGATATACAAAAATGGAAATAATTATTCCATTATAATAGTTTTTCCCAATAAAGTGGTATCAAAGCCAAGTTGTTTGGTACTAGTTTTTCTTGTGTGATTAAAATGGAAGAGTCAAACAATATGATTAAATTGTACTCTTCAAATTATTCCATATGGAGGTCTATGATGGAAGATTTGCTATATTGTAAAGATTTGTATAAGCCTATCAAAATTAAAGAAAATATTTTACATTGAAAGATGAGAAATGAGAGGTTCAACATAGAAAAGCTATTGTCTATATTAGAAGATGGATGAATGTAAATTTGCAAGAGCATATTTTTGATAAAACCAAAGCTGATGTTATTTGACAAATATTAGAAAGTCTCTTTGTGAAAAAGACAGTGAGAAATGAAATTTCTCTCCTCAAAAGCTTATCAATTTAAAATATAAAAATGATAGTAACATTGTTGAGCACATAAGCTCGTTTCAGAGTATTGCAAACAAGCTGGTTACTATGAAAATGAATATAGATGATGATATGCAAGAATTAATACTTTTTAGCTATTTATCAAAAAGTTGAGAAATCTATATGGTGACAATTTCTAACTCCATGCCAGAGGGGACTATAACTATAGACATAGTTAAAAATAGTTTGTTAAATGAAGATGCCAAAAGGAAAGAACAAGGAGAATCTTTTTCTAATGCACTTATTATTGAAAAATAAGAAAGAAGTGAAAGAACTCATAATAGAAATCCATATGATTATAGAGGAAGATCCATATGATTATAGAGGAAGATCCAAGTCTAGAAGAGATATCATGTGTTTCCACTACAATAGGCCAGGTCACATGAAGAAAAAGTGTAGGTTTTGGAAGCGAGAATAGAATGAAAGGAAGAAAAATAAAAAAGAGACAACTACATTTATTGCTAAATATGATATCATTATTGTTTGTGATGACGGATGTATCAATCTTGTAGCTCACTCGACTAAGCATACCATGTCCTCAGGTCACCGGTGACACCTCTATGTCATAGGTAAGATAGCGAATCACGATATAGGTGAGCCTCGAGGGATTCGACTAATTCAACCTACATCAAGAGTCCGTCCCTACCTATAACGATGGAAGGTCACGTTGGTTAATCTAATTGCTTCACATTTATCGATTTAATATTATCGAGAGAGGGGTTTCTTTGATTTGGTCTCCTAATATGACATGTTACACACATACATACTTAATATATATCTACATCACATGCACAATATATATATATATATATATATATATATATATATATATATAGTAGGTTAGTAGGTGTACAAGTAATCACACATCACATGAGCAATCATACCAGAAAATCATGGACCATAGCTTAATGTGATCAAGCCCGAGCTAGTGGGCTTAATCACTCACGTCAAGATCTATGTGTGTAGCGGTGCATCTCCATGCCCTGTGATCGTCTATCTTGTCCTTGTCGGTTCTGTTGGCATCTTGACGCATCTTCATGCATCACGATCGTTTGTCTCATGGGTTTCGCTATCACTTACATACTTCTGTTATGCCTCCTCGTGTAATTACAACTTAATCATAGGCACGCAGGACCGACAATAAACGAAAAATAAAATGGAGGCTTACAGGCCCCAATAATAATAATCACAATTACACACTTCCCACAGCCCATGATCATTCGTCCACATATCATACATCACATATACACATAATCATCATGTAGGACTACTAGATAATAATAATAATAATAGTAGTAATAATAATAATAATAATAATAATAATAATAATAATCAATTAAACTTTTAATTAATTAATATTTTTTTGAATTCAAGGTTAGTAGGAAAATTTCTAAATT